AATGTACAAATGAAGATTTGTGTAAGAATGGGCCTTCATTCCCCTGGCTGCTGGCATTGCCTTTGCTCTGGCCGGAGTAGCCTTTCCACCTTCTCATGCTGCACAGAGGCTCAGAGAGGCTGCAGTGGTGCGGAATGCCTGCATACTGCACAATCTCCAGCTGCTCAGCACCTGTATATGCAAATTAACCTACCATATTTGTTGGATTAATTTGCATACTCACTCCTGATTGGCTGGTGGGTGCCACGAAAGTATGGTCAATTATGTTACTCTTTTATTAGATTTTTTTTTATCTTGAACTAGGGAAATGTGACATTTTTCCTGTTATTTGAGAGCAATATTAATTTTATTAAAGTGAATAATATAACAGTTTTTCACAGATATGGTTTTTCCAAAATATAGATCTCTCAGTAAATTTTTTGTATATTTAACATATCTGAGTTGTTTATATCATTCAATTCATGGTTAGTTTTCATACCTCCACTACAGTATGCTAACTTACATTAACTCTTTATTCATATTATCAATATTAGCTGAGAAAAGGCAAGTTTGTTCAATTTTACAAATGTTTATTTGAAATCAAATAACTTTTTTTTAGAATTCAGCTCTTAGCTCCATAAGGGGTAATCATCACTTAGATTACTGGAAAATGATTTCTGCATATGAAAATAGGCCAGCCCTGGCTAGCTTGGCTTGAGTGTTGGCCTATAGACGGAAGAGTCATAGGTTTGATTCCTGGTCAAGGGCACATACCTCAGTTGCAGATTCCCCAGCTCAGGTAGGGACAAGTGTGGGAGGCACCCACTTGATGTGTCTCTCTCACATTGATATTTCTCCCCTTCTTCTCTCCCTTCCACTCTCTAGAAATCAATGGGAAAACATTTCCTCAGGTGAGAAAAAAAATAGGCCGTATTTTTTCTGGTCAAGTTAGTTTCATAAAGGTACAATTTGATTAGATATGTGATGAATAAATGGATAATTTGTTTAACTGGTTGTGAACACACTTATAGAGAAATGGAGTGTATAGAATGTCAACCCAAGTCCCAATCTTTGACTAAATCTTCACTAATGGATCAGCTGACCCTTTCTTTAGATAACAAAAACCAGTTTCTTATATCTATCCAAAAAATCTCTTTGGTCTCTCACATCATCGATGTGGTGCAAACCATGGTAGTATATCTGTTTCATAGTATTAATTACTGCATTTGTGACACTCTCTTTTTCTAAAATTAAATATGATTCCCATTTAATTATGAAATAAAGATGTTGTGCAAACTGCCACCATGGATTTAAGTTTTATTAAACAAGTCCAGGGTCAGTTCAGACTTGCTGGATCACCTCTTGCAATCCTGTTTACCCACTTGACTCATTACACAAAAATAATTTCCTGATAAACCCATTATTCACACAATGTTCAAAAGTTATGCAAACTGTTAAAACCTTTGGAGATCACAAATCACTATGGTTAATGGAGTGGAGTTTATATATTTCATATCTGTACTCTCATTGGCAGGGGGAGGGGAGAATATAAACAATTTAACCATTTCATGCAATTTTGTACTACAAGCCCCTTCACCACAGCTTCAACATGCTAGGAAATGTTCTACCAGTCTAAACTCAGATTTGCAAGTGTTAGTTTCTGTTCAGGAAGCAATACTAGTACATGCCGCAATCAACCTTTTTGTAATCCCATCATTGGCAACAGGTTTTCGTGCCAAGAAAAATTTTTTACTTAGTGCTTATTACACCATTGTCACAACTGTGATTTTCAGTCCATTAAGTTTATTATTAAGCTAATTTGTCATTTCGTGTCTTTGCTATTCTGGTCATAGTTCTTACTGTGGCTACTTTCATAACAGCTTCTTAAGTACATTTAGGATGATGTGCGCCAGCAGTGGCTGTGCCGTATTAGTCACGTAGGAAGAGCCTCTTCTTCCACAATGACATGCACTCTCCCACTTCTCATGAAACACAGGGCTGGCTGGCTTTCATTTATTCATTTTTTGTTTTGTTTTGTTTTGTTGTGTTTTTTTTTTTTTCGTGGAAAGAAAAGTAGTGTGATGTGTCCATACCTGGTAGCGCCCAGTCAGTACTAAGGAAGACATTAAATAATGGTGGGAATTATGATGAGCCTGAAACACCTGTCCAAAGGCAGCAGTTTTTATAAATTAGGATTAGGTTTACCTGATAATCCATGATAGTTTAAACATAAATGTATTTATTTTTTAAAATAAGTTTTTATTGTTTCAGAAAGAGGAAGGGAGAGGGAGAGAGAAATAGAAACATCAGTGATGAGAGAGAACCATTGGTCAGCTACCTTCTGCATGCCCCCTACTAGGGATCGAGCCCACAATCCCAGCACGTACCCTCCTGGTGCATAGGCTGGTGCTCAATCACTGAGCCACATCTGCCAGACTAAATGCATCTTTTTAAATAAAAGCCCAGAAGGCAGTCCTCAGTTGGTATGTTGGTTTAAAGACCATCAAGAAGCTAGGAGCTTTCTATATTCCTACTCTCATACCCTCTATTAGCTTCCTCCTCGTGATTCAACATGATTGCAAGATTCATTCATGTTAAATAATATTCCATTGTATGGATATACCACATCATATCTATTAGCTCATTAGTGGATGGTCATTTGGATTACCACTTTTTGGTTATTATGAGTAATGCTGATATGATCATTTGTGAACAAGTTTTTATGTGCATACATGTTTCCATTTTCTTGGATGCCAACTGTGTGCCAGTGAAGAAAACAGACCATTTTGCACCAAAACCGGCTTGACTTAGTGGATAGAGCGTCAGTCTGCGGACTGAAGGGTCCCGGGTTCGATTCCGATCAAGGGCATGTACATTGGTTGTGGGCACATCCCCGGTGGGGGGGCGGGGTGTGCAGGAGGCAGCTGGTCGATGTTTCTCTCTCATCGATGTTTCTAGCTCTCTATCCTTCTCCCTTTCTCTCTGTGAAAAATCAATAAAATATATTTTAAAAAAAATAAAACAGACCATTTTGCTATTCTCAAATATTTCCATTGATGATAAATATTATTAGCATGACCTTAAAATTGAGACTGAATACAATAAAAAATATGCATTTCTCAAATGTTTTTATTAAATTAATTGATTTACTCAGAAAAAAAAATTGAGACTGAATAAATGGAAATGGAATGAGGAGAATGCAGTTTTTAATAGATGAAAAGATATGATTTTATACTGAAGTGAAGGGGAAAGACAATAAGTATGTTAAATATGAAAATCAAATATGTTATTGAAAAGTGTGCAGGAGGAAAAAAAAAGAGAGAGAGAAATGGAATGGTAATGGGGGTAGAAAACAGCATTACATTTTAGATAGGGCAGCCAGGAAAATCCTCCCTGAAAAAGATGGAATTTTGAGTACTGAACTGAAAGTGAGGGAGCTAGTTATGCAGACATCTATAAAAGGAACATCAAGTAAAGCAGGAGCATAAATAGAATGTCCAAGGGTCAGCAAGACAGGCAAATAGGGAAGAGTCTTTAGGGGGATAACGGTCAGAGATGATGTGAGATTAAGAAGGGCCTTGTAGGTCCCTGTGAAGGGGATACGGGAGCCGTTGGAAGGTTTTGAGCAGGAGAGAGACATAATCTGACTGTGATTTTAATAGGATCACTCTCATGTCGGTTGAAAAGGAGCAATGTGCAGAAGCAATGAAGAGTTTATAGTCTGTTATTATCCAAGCAAGGGATGATGATAGCAGCTTCAGGATGTTGGATGTACATCAGAAAGGCATAGATGGGGGGAAGTTTGGCTTCAAAGGTGGTTCAGAAGGCCAGTTTCTTCATCAGCAGATAAACTCTGGAATCTACTTCAAGTACATGCAGGATGTTGGCAAAGTCTGCAGCCTCATGAACAGGCCCCCATGGAACACGCAGGCAGAAAAACATGCTGCTTTCATCTCCCTCAATCTTGTATACCTCTCCAGACTTTACATACATACCTGGAAGGTCTGTCATCTGCGGGGTTGTATCCACCATCATCCAATGTACCATCTTCACACCAGGTACTGGCTATGACAAACCAGAACTTCTCACCCAAGTCTACATGGTAAATCTGAATGTTTACATCGAAAACAAGGTCCATCATGAAAGATTCACTCTCACAATGCAGTCAAGACACGTGATCCAACTTCTTGCCCTCTGGGTCAATGTCTTTCACATAAAAAATATTGCCACCATGGTGAAAGGACTACAAGAGTAGCAGGTGCCGAGCGGGCAACCACAACTAGGGGTATACCACCTCTCATGGAAAAAATGCTCTCTTCCTCTTCATGGAAAACACCCTGAAGTCTTTCTTGACTTTTTTTTCCCCCTCTCTCACAGCAGATCCTTGGGAAATCCTGTTGATATTACCTACAGATTATATTTTAAAAACCTGATCACCTTTACAACTACTAGCCTGGTCAAGCCACTTTTATCTCTCATCCAGGTTTTGTAAGACCCTCCTAAATCATCTCTGCTTCTACCCTTTTACCCTCCTCTCCCAAAGTGTTTTCAACAAAGTTGCCAGGATACTCTTTTTTTTTTTAGAATTTCAGTCAGATGATGTCATTGCTCAAAATGCATCTCTTACCTCCTTGATCTTACTTATTACTATCCTCAACCTCTCCAATTCAACTGCTTTGGCCTGCTTGCTGTTCTATCCCAGGCATATCCCAGGGCCTTTAGCCCTGCTGTTGCCCCTGACTGCAGTGCTGAAAACTGGATAGACAAATAGGCTTGCCACCTCACATTTTTAAAATTTTGGCTCAGTGCTTCCTTCCACTGAGGTCTTCCCTAATCACGTTAACATTGCAGCTCCCTACCTCCAAAGCCCCCAGCTCTTTCCCTTCTCTATTGCTCTTTGTAGTGCTTATCACAATAAGAACGCTGAATACCGTTTATTCACCTATGTTCCATTGTCTCCAGTAGAATGAATGTACACGCCACGAGAATAGGATTTTTGTGTCTGTTTTATTGACAAATCTTTAGGACCTGGAACATAGTAGCATTCAATAAATGTTAAGTAAATGAATCCATTTGACCTTCTGCATTTTTGAAATTTCATAAATAGTAGGATATGTAGACTGGTTGATAGTGAAAGACTCAAAAGCAAACATCAATAAGCAATTGTGTCCAGTTCCCAAAAGATTTCCCCAATCTGCTAAGCCACCTGTTTTTATTATGAAAGCAATGCTTATCTTACAGGAAGGAGAAATACTTTGACTTCAAGGTTCCTTTAAATTTGTTTCCCATTTTTTGCCTTCCTTTCCATAGCTACTGTGTAGGCCCTCAAGGTTTTATAAAAAGCATTTAAAACCTTGTGTTCAATGCAGCAGGATTAGGTGATAGGAGCTGAAGCCCATGAGAAAAATGTGTTTCTGGCCCCCTGAGTGTCCTCTCTACCCACCCTCTCGGGTAAATTTGAACCATTTGTTGTGATTCCATGCTTAAAACTCGCAGCACAAAACCACAGGCCACGTTTGCGAGGTGCTTGGGTCAGGACTGCAACTCCTCAGATAATTTTTCAGGTTTTTGGATGATAACCCCAGTTCTTGGTCGTGCTGTTAAAATCAGTTACTTCTTTGGACCCCTATTTTGCCTTTCAGCTATTGATGTCACGATTCCAACACGTAACAGCATTTAAGAAGACCATAGCCAGAAACAAGACCAAGTAAGTTAAAAAAAAAAAAAATAACGGAGTACCCAGTACATACTTACGTGTAATGTGCATCCTCACCCCACTCTACAACCCAACAGCAGCAGCTCAGGAGAAAGTTTGCTCGACTTTGTTTCCTGCAGCCGTTGCCATTAACAACCAGGAAAGCAGCTAGCGTAAATACAATTTGCTCCTCATTGTTCCAAGAGCCCCCTTATTTGCAGGAATCCTCTTAATAAGCAGAGGATGAAGCTGACCCACATTGGTCCTCTCGCCCTGGTTGGGCCTGGCCTTCATTTTAGATTAAGAATGAACCCTCCGTATAGCCTTTCCCAGAGCAGGGACGTCCTTATTTTCCCCTCTCCCCCGCCAGCCCCACCCTTGGCCAGGTTTCCCTCATTGAAGATTTTCCCGGTGTCATTCCTGAATCATGCCCGAGGACAATGTCCACATTCTTTATGCTCAGTCTCGAGATGACCTCGGGGGGGATGGCATCTGTGCCAAGAAAGAAATGGAATGAGTCCATCGGCCAGAACCGATCACCCAAAGCAGCCGGAGTGCCCAGTCCCCGGCGGAGCTCTGGGCGCCGGGCTAGCGGTGCGGGAGCGGAGCGGGGCGGGGCTGGGCGAGGCGGGGCGGGGCTGCAGCGGCGCGCGCCCCTCCCGGGCCCTCCCCCCGGCCCCGCCCCGCCCCCCGCCCCCCGCCCCCCGCGGGCACCTGGCAGGAGGGCGGGGGCGACGGCGCGTCACGCCGCGGGTGGGAGCGCGGGCAGGTGACAGCGGCGCCTCCTCCCCTCGCAGTGCAGCCGGCCGCCGGGGCGCGAGGCCGCCGAGAGGAGCTCCGCGCTCGCGCCGCCTCCCCTGCTCCCCGCGCGCCGGGCGCTCAGGCTCCGCTTCCCGCAGGGTGAGTGGGGGCGCCGGGCCGCCGGCTGGGGCCAAACTTTTACGGGGCGCGGAGAAGAGACGGGGGGAAAAGGGAGGGAAGAGGGAGACCCCGAGACAAGGGCTTGGGAGCAGCCTGATGGAGGAACGTGGGTGCTGCACGCAGAGATTGGGGTTCGGGTGCCGGGGCCCTCCCTGGGGTCGGGGTGGGCGGGCTGGAGGCTCCCGCACCCACCGCGGCTGGCGGGGCGGAGGGAGAAGGGCCCTTCCCGGGGGAGGCGGGACCGCCGCGCTCACCTGTGCGCGTCCTGGGCGCCCCTCGCCTCCCCCCGCCCTCCGCGTCCCGAGGGGACCCCGGTGGCCGGCCGTCCCCGGGCTGCGCGCCTCCCCGGAGCGCTCCCGGCGGGAGGACCGAGGTGCTGGCAGGAGGGACTGGGAGTGGGAAGAAGGATCTGCTCGACCTTGACCACCGAGGTCACTTTCCCAGCGCCGGGATCCGGCCTCCCCAGCCACACCCCAGAGTCCCCGAGCCCCTCTCTTCCTGCTTCCTCCCCCCGGTGGCGCTGGGGTGTCCTTGAGGCCGGAATGAACTTGGGGCGCAGCGCCGGCCGCGAGGCGCTGGGTGCCTCGTGAGCTCCCGGAGCTGCATCCTGTCCCGGCGGCCGCCGGTGGCCAGGGAGCGGGGTGATGAGCACAGAGCCGTGGAACAGGTCGTACCGGAGAGGGAAACGGGAAAGCCTGTTGTTCCGAGAAGCGTTCGGTAGGAAATGGGCCTCTCCCCGCAATCCGTCAGCGCTGATTCAAACTTACCGGATGCCTGCGGAGACAGCTCCCGGGAGAGCTGGGGCTGGAAGGGTCCGGGCTCTGCCCTTTCCAGCTCCCCGTGGGGGTGCGGAAACTGGCCCCACACCGGCTGGGGAATAGTTCTGGCGAGCCAAGCCTTTTCCTTCTGGCCGCGATAGCCCCTCGGAAGGCATTTTCACTTAACCCTATCCTCTTGCCTTCACTCCTCACTCTTGCTAGTATTGTTTATTCGCCGTGACATTCATCCATACTTTGTGGCTGCCTCTGTCTTCCTACAGCTCACTTGCTTAACTAATTCTCTTACTTTGTAATGTCTGCTCCGTCTACTGCTGGCCAGAAATTTTTCTCCCCAAGGTCACTGAGAACTGAAAAAAAACACCCTTTTATTCCAATGGCAGGTAGTTACCGAGTGCTGTACGTGCAGGCACTGTTCTAAGAACTTGTGCGAACTCTTAATCCTCTCGAGGATCCTGTGAGGGAAAGGATAAATAAGATCCTCATTTTTACAGACGAAGAAACCAAGACAGTAACTTGCCCCAGGGTACAGGACATCAGGGGATTCTGACTCGGGCTGTGGTCCAGCACTGGGGCTGTTGGCCTACCACATACTGGGTCACTGACAGGTCCCTTCTGGGCCCTTGGTCTCCTGAAGTACTGAGATGTGTCAAGCATCATTCTCCAGACTCTCTTTTTCAGGTCCTTCTTTCCCATCTTGTGTCGTTTTGTACTAGTTTGGGTTCTTCTATAGTTTGGGTTCTTCTACTTTTTAAGATTTCATAAGGACCCCATGCTTGTGATGATAGTGTCCATTCCTTGGCTGACATTTGTCTATATTTAAATGCCTCTCCCAAGACACAGGCATAGGGACTCCAGCAATTTGGTCAGGAAATGGGAGAGCATTTCTCTCTGTTTCCACAACTGCAAAAGCTTGACTCAAAGTGTGATGTGGCAGAGTAAGTGCAGCCATTCTGTAGACAGACTACTCAGAACACAGGCCTCACTGGTTATGGCAGTGAGTGTAAAAAATCCAGGTTTGTCTTTGAGTGAGGAAAAATGGTGTGTGTCGGACATCTACGGAACCCATAAGCACATCCAGACCCCGTAAGCACCAATAAAGGGATTCACACTTATTATTTGAATGTATGCTACTTTAAATGTTCTTTGTTATTAATAACAATTAGTAAGTTTTTAAGAGTCCTAATTTTCTCTTACTATAAAATTAGCATATTTCCCATTTTCTTAAATTGCTACTTTTTTGATAATGTGTATATAATCACTGATTACACCAAATTCACTCTGTTAGTCTGGCTGACTTTGTCTGAATGCTGTCAGATGCTGGTGAGATTAAAAGACATACAAAACTATTATGACTGATGAGACAAGGCTTACATATTGCCATTTTCACCTCTTTTCTTCCTCTCCTCCCCTTCTTGGAGTTGAGAGATAATATTAGTTATTTTTTATTTGTTGGAACTGCTTTACCAGAATGTGAGGTATCTGCATTTTGATCAAATAACTTAATGAAACACCCAGATAAAATTTTTTTTTTCATAGAACTTTGTCTCTTCTGTTACACCTCCACTCATCCAGCTTAAGATTCTATGTTTTCCATGTGTCTTATTCAGTATGAGTGTAGCATCTCTCACTCAGTGCCTATAATATTCCATTTGGACTTGCCCTGCTTTGTCCCAGAGAATTTCTACTTGATATCATTTCTGTCAAGGGCCCCCTCCATTTTTCTAGTCAGCTAGGACCAAACGTAGTGGTCCTGTCACCGAACACCCCTCTCCTGGTCATGAAATCTATTCAACTTTTCCCTTGTTTCTTCCTTCAAGCCTTCAACAATCTCACCCCCTTCCCTCATTTCTTCACCATTCTCCCTCCTTCCCATCCCTAAACACTCCTTTATCACTTGTCACATGTCATACGTGTCATTTTCTCTTATTTGTTATCTTCTTTCATAAATGTTTGATGTCCACAAAAAGATTGTGAACAACTTAGGAAATTAACATCTTCAGGCCTTACAACTACTATCGATAGTTGGTAGATGCATATTTGCAGAATGTGATCAATGAATTAAGATAGCACAGAGAGGTGGGTTTGCTGATGGAGGGAAACTTTGAAATTTTTAAGCCAGGCTTTACAGGATGTTGAGGAGTTTGCATTGGTAGACATGCAGGCATTGGCAGGCATTGTAGAAGAAGAAAAAAACCTTTGCCAACTCCATTCTGTGGACAGAAACCCAGCTATCCTGGCTAAACATTATGCTTAGAAGTGTAATGAAGTAGGACCATATTGGCAGAGAGCGGGAACCCAGTGATCTTGGCTAATAAACATTACACTCAGGAGTGTAATGGAATAGGACCATATCCGCAGAGAACCATGAATCCTAATCTTATTTTAGCAAAACAAGATATGAAACCACAGTAAGTTACCAAAAAACAAACATGTTTTTATTGAAAAAAATATATACATAAAAGTACACATAAGACAAATGAAGAGATGACCACAGCAGATATATTTGGCTGTAGAATGACTGTCCTATTCTGGCAGTAGACATGACAGTTGGATGAGTATGCAGACAGGCCAAAGAGGAAGCTTTTCCCAAAACACCTCTATATAAGGCGACATGGGCCTGGATCAGTCCCAAGAGGCATTGTCAGGAAAGAGTTGGCTTTGCTTGGGGAGACTTCAGGAGAAAAGAAAACTGGAATGAGGTGTCAAAATGTGAGGTTAGGGAGCAAAGGAGAGAGTTCTGACCTACCAAGAAACTTTAACCACAATGATTTTTATTTTTTTTTGCCACTTTAACTCTGTCTTTCTCTCTTTTTCTATGCATGTTTTCCTAAATCACTCCCTATATAATTTTAGTATTCTGTGTGTTCCATATAACAAATAGTAAGCATTTTTCATTTTATGTAATTTCCAAAAGTCCTGGTGTTTGCATTATATTCCAGTAATTTACTCAACCTATTTACTCAATGGATCCTCTATTTGTGGGCAGCTATATGAGCAGCAAATTATAAACAACCCAAGTTATAGTACTGCTTATCTTTGCAGATATATCATTGAACACATAGGGATTTATTTCCTTTTGATAGTGTTCCAGGAGTGGAATTACTTTGTTGACAATTATGGCCGTTTTTATGGTTCTTAATACACATCGTCAGATTTCTAAAAGAAAATTTAAAAACAGACCGGATCTGTTGTGTCTACTTTTTTCTCTCTGAAGTATCAGTAATTCAGTTCATTGTGAACAGTGTTATTAAACCCCTTTTGCATGTTTTCTACTCTGTCAGTTTCCTAGGGTTGGTGTAACAAAGCACCACAAACTAGGCGGCTTACAACAGAAATGTATTGTCTCCAAGCTCTAGAAGATAGATGGCTAAAATCAGGGTGTTAACAGTGTTGGCGACTTCTGAGGGCTTTGAGGGAGAGTCTGTTCAACTCCTCTCTCCTAGCTTCTTGGTGACGGTGGCAGTCACTGGCTTAGAGATATTGTATTGCAGTATCTGGCTCAGTCTTCACATAGCATTCTCCCTGTGTGTCTGTCTTCACATGGCCATTATCTTGCAAGGACACAGTTATATTGGATTAAGGTATGACTTCATCTTAACCAATTACATCTGCAAAGACCAGTTTCCAAATTATGTCACATTCTGAAGTTCTTGAAGCTGGGATGTCAGCATATCTTTCTGAGGATCACAATTCAACCCATAACAAGGACTATGGTAGACACTGGGATATCCATAAAAGAAAATCCTCTGTTCTTTTTTTTATTATAGTTGAATTTATTGGGGTGACATTGGTTAATAAAATTATATAGGTCTCAGCAGGTGTACAATTTTATAATACATGGTCTGTGTATTGTTTCGTGTGATTACCACTCCAAGTTAAGTCTCCTGCCATTACCATTTATCTCCCCTTTTCCCTCTTCTACTTCTTCTCATCCCCCTTTCTCTCTGTTAATTACCATACTTTTGTCTGTGTCTATGAGGTTTTCCCCCCTTAATCCTTTTGCCTTTTTTTTTTTTTTTTTTTTTACCAAGCTCCTCAACCTGTCCTCCTTGACAGCTGTTCGTTTGTTCTATGTACCGTATTTTTCGGACCATAAAACGCACTTTTTTTCCCCAGAAGTGGGGGGGAAAAGTCCCTGCGTCTTATGGTCCAAATATAGCCTACACATATACTTTAAAAAAAAAGTTTTTTTACTTGCCCGGCTCTGTGTGGTCTCTGTGTGCTTGCCCAGCTCTAAAATGGTTCTAAATGCTGCTGTTTACTTTAGAGGGTTGATTACATGTGTTTATGACTGTGATGTTGGGTTTTAATGCACATAAAATATTTTAGGACACTATTTGTTTCAGAATCTTTTTTTCTTCATTTCCCTTCTCTAAAAACTGGTGCGTCTTATGGTCCGGAGCGTCTTATGGTCTGAAAAATATGGTATTTACAAGTCTGTTTCTATTTTGTTTGTTAGTTTATTTTATTCATTAGATTCCATATAAAAATGAAATCTATTTTTTTATTTTTTGAGGTAACTTTATATTGTTTTACACAGTGGCTGTACTAGTCTGCATTCCCACCAAACAGTGCATGAGGGTTCACTTTTTTCTACATCCTCGCCAACACTTGTTGTTTGTTGATTTATTGATGATAGCCATTCATACAGGTGTGAAATGATATCTCATTGTGATTTTAATTTGTATTGCTCTGATGATTAGTGACATCTTTTCCTATGTCTCTTGCCCATCTGTATGTACTCTTTGAAGAAGTGTTTATTCAGGTCCTTTGCCCATTTTGTAATTGGATTGTTTGTTTTTTTGGTGTTGAATTTTAGAAGTTCTTTATAAATTTTGGAAATTAAACCCCTTATCATATGTATCATTGGGGCAAATATAGATTGTCTTTTAATTTGGTTGCTTTTTAGTTTAATGGTGCATTTGTTTACTTTTTCTTTTGTCTTCCTTGCCTGAGGTGATAGATCAGATAAAATATTGCTATGAGAAATGTCCAAGATTTTACTGCCTATGTTTTCTTCTGGTATTTTTATGGTTTCTAGTTTAACATTTAAGTCTTTAATTGATTTTGAGTTTACTCTCATATATGGTATAAGAGAGTGGTTTGGTTTCTTTTCTTTTCTTTTTATTTATTTTTTGCACATATCTGTCCAATTTTCCCAACACCATTTATTGAATAGACTATCTTTACTCCATTGTGTTTTGTGCCTCCTTTGTCAAATAAAAATTGACCATAAAGGCATGGGTTTATTTCTGAACTCTCTATTTTTTGAATGATTTATATGTCTGTTTTTATGCCTGTACCATACTATTTTGATGATTATGGCCTTGTAGTATATTTTGGCATCAGGTAGCATGATTCCTCCAATGTTACTCTTCTTTCCCAAGATTGCTATGGCTATTTGGGGTCTTTTGTGGTTCCATATAAACTTTTGGAATATTTTTTCTAGTTCTGTGAAATGCACCATTGGCATCTTGGTAGGAATTGTATTGAATCTGTAGATTACTTTGGGTGGTGTGGACATTATAATGATGTTAATTCTTCCAATCCATGAACACAGTATATGCTTCCACTTATTTGTATTTTCTTCAGTTTCTTTCTTCATTGTCTTATCATTTTATGAGTACAGGTCTTTTACATCCTTGGTTAAATTTATTCGTAGGTACTTTATTTTATTTTACTTTTATGCAGTT